ACAAAGGGACCAGTCGGTCTTGAAACGTCGCGACACGTTTAATACGTGTAGAAAGGAAAACTTTCATATCTTGTATGGTACGTTTTTATCATAAGTGAATTATTCCAATGTTTTCTTCATATCTTTATCGACAATTGCTCCGTTGATGTTTCAAATATTTATGTCATTAAAAATAAATAAACAAATAAATACAAAAAAACAACAACAATGAATATTGAAGACGATTTGAATTCATTGACAAAAGAGAATTTTCATTAAAAAATCACTAATTAATTTAAATTGAAAATCTCTCAACTGATGTTTTAAATACCAATAATTAAAAAATGAAATAAAAGAATACTTGAGGTTGTTTTATTTTTAATTAAATAGTATTGGCTTTCTTTATAAATGTATCAATTTTGGAAATATTGAATATGTTTAACCACATTTCTTTGATGGGGTACTTTTCATCTCATCATCTTGTTGACCTAGGCAAGCACAAACACACTAGAGGTACATAAACCAAATATTAGATATATATTTTTCCTATTTTTATTTGCAGAATTCTGATTTAAAAGGCTTTTATTTCACCAATATGAAAAGTCAGATGAGGGAGTTCTTCCCTGGAGGTTTGAGTCAGACGGGGATGTGTCCTTGTGGTTTAACAGGATCATGTTCTGATCCAGCCGAATCGTGTAATTGTAATGTGAAAGATGGCGAAACAAGGATGGATTTTGGTGTGGAATTCAACAAAGAAAATTTACCAATTACTGCTATGTTTTTTAATGACATAGGAACATCAGATAATCAGAATGCTTCATATACTCTGTCATCACTGAGGTGCAGTCAGCAATCTTTCTGTGAGTATTTGAAGTGGTTAAAATTTATAATTGTATAAACATTGATTATGATAAGTGTGATTGTTAAACCTATCATATTATAATATAACAATGTGAAAATTGTTTTAAGGACACAAACTTCAACACAATTCTTTCATAAAAAATATTCTCAATTATCTATTTCAAAGGAATTATAGTATGAGATTATCTAACATTATTTCATTATTATATTGCAACTTTCCTGTCATATTGTTAGTAAAATGTATGTATTGGTTATGATTATATTAACTTATTATTGTCGTCATTGAACTGACTTTTCGCAGCATTTGAGGCGAGTTGCGAGTCGTATCTGAGGGATCGAGGGAGGACTTACAGCTATACCTACATGTTGGACCCCGACGGTCCGGAGCCAAGAGATGGAGACCAAAGTAACAACAAAATCGTTTATTTATAATAGAGATTTACAATCTTATCCTTCTCTTTTTTTCCCCTAAGTTTTGAAAAGAAAAATATGAAGAAAAAAAAAATGAAAAAAAACTATTTATCCTTTCATCGTTTGTTGAACGAACGTTTTACATATTGCATTATTGGTCCGTACCTTTCGTCTCTTAACACTAAGAATCACCTTCATGTACAGTGATTTATTTTTCATTATGATAAAACAAATTTAGCTTTTTTCTCCAGACCCAAGGAAACTACTCTTGGTGCCTTCACCATAAATTTGCGACTATAATATTATTCATTTAAGTAATTTTACAGCAGTGAATGATAGCCAGTTTCTGAACTAAATACTAGATTTTACATACTGTACGTCTTATAATAATATTCCATTTTTCTATTTCAAATCCGGGTAAAAGGTAACATTTTAGGACGAGTTTTAATATAGATCAATATTTCAACTTAATGATATTGACTCATTTTAAGTGTAACACTGGTCATAAACAATAGCATTTAAAACAGTTTCTTCTTATGATCCCCGAGTCTTAGACTTAACCTCACATTCTATGGTTTTGCAAGAAAGTTGATGCATTGCAACAGTTATCTTGCTACCAAAAACACCATAATCCCTGGCTATTATCCATTATGAAAATAAGTTAATTGTCTAGGATAATATAATAATCCTTTGGTTCATTTAAGGAATAATCAGGATGATTGGGGGG